TAAATTAATTCAATTTAAAATAAATAGCCATCTGTGACAATATGGTACTGCCACGTTGGACCGCAGAGAAAATCTTAACTCATTGGTTCTTTTTTTTTTTCATATATTTTTATTAGTTGGAGGCTAATTACTTTACATCATTGGTAAGCAAGTGTCACTGAGGTCAAGTTGAATTTGTCAGTGTCAGGTTAATCTGTAAGTGCCTGTGTTTTATTATTTGCTTGTCCTGTGTTTTTATGTTCGTTTTCTATTCCTTCTTTGTTCTCATCACAATTTTGGTGGTTTGGGGATTTTGGTTTCTTACAGGTTCAGCGAAATGAGGACAAATCTACCACCTTGAAACTGGCTGATTTTGGTCTTGCAAAGCATGTGGTGAGACCTATATTTACTGTGTGTGGGACTCCAACTTATGTAGCTCCTGAAATCCTCTCTGAGAAAGGTAAAGGTTACACATGGCTCTGTGGGACTCTAGCTTGCTTACTAACCAATGTTTACTTTTTAATATTTAAATTTCACATTTTTCAACATGAAGCAGTTAAAAATCTCAGAGATTGGCTCTGCATTTGTACTTGGATATTAAATATTTGAAGTAGGTCTCCTTGACCAAAGCATGAGAACTTTTTCCTCATCAGGGCTGCTCTTATTACAGAGAAGAGTGTGTGAGTGTGTGTGTGTGTGTGTGTGTGTGTGTTGGCAGGACAGTGAGATGAAAGATTGTGGAGAATTGAATGAGAAACTCAAGCAAGCAAGGTCATTTAGCCACTCACCCAAAGCTACCTCTAAGGGAGAGATATAGAGCAGTTCTTATGGTAATTGGCTTTAAAAACTCCTTTTTTAACCTTGCAATTAAAGGAAAAGGAGGTCCCAGTTCAAACCCCATGAATAATATATGTATATTGCATATTGTATAAAGGTCCAATGGACTATTTTAGTGACAGACTCTGTAAAGGATATACAAGGAAATCATCTTCATCATTATTATATGGCTCCAAGTATATGAATAACTATTTAGCCATCCTTGCACTCCAGGAGAAATCAGTTAAACCACCTCTGATGGCTAAAGATGGGAAAGCTCTAGATGGGTTATAAGCTTGGGGGTAGGGAGAAGGGAGAGTTTTATCCCAGCAGCAAATGCATGAGGGAAGCCAAGATACAGAGATTAGTCTATGCATGGAAGTTGGGTGGTAGAGACTTTAAAAAACCAGCCTCAGTAGAGCAGAGGGAAGTGCAATTGGATGGGGAGGGTTAGCCAGGATTCCCCCCAAAATGAGTCTGAACTCAGTGTGGCCAGCAGAGTTGCCGTGGTAATGTGGTGACAGTGTGACAGGAGAGTACTGAGTGACTATGGACATTTTAATGGAGGCATTACCGAGCTGGATCAGAGAGGCATGAAAGCAAGTAAGTTAGGGACTTCCATGCTGGTCCAGTGACTAAGACTCTGGACTCTCAATGCAGGGGACTTAGGTTCGATCCCTGGTCAGGGAACTAGATCCTGCATGCTGCAACAAAGAGTTCCCATGCCACAGTGAAGGCTGAAGATCCCACATGCTGGAGCTAAAACCTGGCACAGCCAAATAAATGTATAAGTAAATAAATATTTTTAAAAAAGAAAACAAATATGGCTACGTGAACTCTGGGAAGCCAGGACAGTAGGGCTCGCGCCAGCTAACACAGGGTGTTGGAAAGGAAAGCTCTTTGGGAGATGGGAACAGGGTGAGTTAAATTTTGAACACATTGACTCTATAGAGACAGCAGGATGGATACACACAGAGTTGTCTGGTTGGCTGAATGTGTGGTTTTGAGACCGCTCCATACCAAGATGGCAGCCAAGAGATGATGTGCCTCTGCCTTCATTGCACAGGTTACGGGCTGGAGGTGGATATGTGGGCCGCGGGCGTGATCCTCTACATCCTCTTGTGTGGCTTCCCCCCGTTCCGCAGCCCAGAGAGGGACCAGGAAGAGCTCTTTAACATCATCCAGCTCGGCCGCTTCGAGTTCCTGGCTCCTTACTGGGACAGTATCTCTGATGGTGAGACTTTGGGCTTCCCAGGCAGGAAGGGTGGGGGATGGGGAGCTGGAGCCCCTTCTGGGATCTGACTGCAGAGCCTGTTTTCAGGTCAGGTGTGTGAAATGATACCCAGAGAACCTGCTATGATACCCGGGCCATCCGCATCTTCTGCTTTCCTTTATTTCCTGCTAGCTTGGTGTAGATCTCCATAGCATCCCAAACACAGGACTTGCTTTGAGATGTAAGTCTCACCACCAGTCGGAGTCACCAAATACTTTTCTTGAAGCCAGCTGAAGAACCTCAGAACTGGAAAAATATCAGAAACGTGGAATCCTCATTTGAAAAGATCAAAGCCATCTCATATACAGAAGTGTCTATGAATCAGATAGACTAGAGATGCTTATTTTACCTGTGAATAGTCAGGTCTCTAGGGGCGTCCTTGGGGCACAGGGGCTCTGGAAGGTCAGAGGGTGAAGGTCAGAGGTACCTTTAGTGGAGCAGAGGCTTATGTGGTCCTCCTCGCTTTTGGCCCTTACAGGTGAAATCTTTCCCTTGATTTACACATTTAAAATATGTGTAGGTATGGTACATGGCCTCCATGTGTCCTCTTGGGCTGGACTGCGCCATGGGTGGTAGTGGTGGGCCTGACCTCACGATTCTATGTCTAACATGGTAGCCCAGTAGCTGCATGGGGCTATTTGAATTTAAATGTCAGTGAATTAAAAGGAAATGCAAGAAGAATTCAGTTCATCAGTTGCACCAGCTGAATTTCAAATGCTCAGTAGCCCCAAGCCAGTAGCACGGATGTGGAAAGTTTCCATCGTGACAGACGGTTCTGAGGGCCAGTGGTCCTCTGGTCCAGCACTGGTCGCTAACACAGATGTTTGTGTCCTTATTTCCTGTATGGAAAAGGAAAATTCCTCCGAACCATCTGCATCCATCCCATTTTTCCATCTTTCTATCATTCCAACAGCTGCCAAAGATCTGGTGAGCCGGTTGCTGGTGGTAGACCCCAAAAAGCGCTACACGGCCCACCAGGTCCTTCAGCATCCCTGGCTTGAAGCTGCCGGAAAGACCAGCAGGGCAAACCTACAGAAGGAGGTGCCCCCCAGCAGCGAGGACCACTTCCGGAGCTAGCACACGTGGGCTACAGAGCAGACGTCACAGTCACAACCTCAGCATCCACCCAGTCCTCCGTGGTCCTGCTTGGGGACAGAGAAGAAGATAGACATCGAGGAGAAAAACAATGAAAAAAGCCTTCTTCACATAATTGGAGAATCAAGCGAAGGAGTGAAGACCCTCAGTATATTTTAAAGCATATTTAAAAAGATAAATTTGAGTCTTAATGTTAAATGTTGTAACATATGTTTAGGTTTTTAGATTAGAAGTCTTTAATACATTGTGGGAGGTGGGGTGGGGAGACTTATTCTCAGTGAGGAATTTTTTGGTAATAATGATTTGTGTTTTGCTTCTTCCTTATAATCAAGTTCGTGGTATATATTACACGAGTGGTGCTTACCAGGGTTTAAACTCCCCCCGTGAAATTAATCATCTGAATCGTAGTCCTTCCTCATTAATAAAATGTGCTCTGGATAACTGAAGCGAACTGTATTCTGACTGCTTCTTAATGCTGGTGATGAAAACCAGCGAATTATAGTTCAGACATGTCTCCTGAAACCCCTGTGTCTATACGTAAATGTGCTGATG